TCTGACGAAGAGAAGTGTGTTTCAACACCCATCCTAGAAAGAGATAGAAGCCGGCTGAAGAGCGAAGGTCATCACCACATTGCCTAGCAACGGTAACGCAGAAGCTCGTGCAAGCTGTTACACCAGAAAATGTTCGCACAGGCTTCTACAATAGTTTGGGTTAGGCTACTGAGAAACTCAAGAAGGAGGCCTATTTGAAGCAGGGCGACACTCCCCAATGAGCACTAGATGGGTACTGACCAAAATCGCTCGTCTATTATCATTGTTGAGAGAGGTAGTTGGCCTTGGGGGTGAAATAACAGCTATTTGTTCCTTTTCCGGTGGTGAGTCGGGTTTATTCTCTTTGTACAGTGTTGTAGTCTGCTACTAGACGTTTCACAACTTACAATGGGTATTTAACATTACATTTAACAATTTTAGAGACGGTTTTGTGCTCTTAGAAATAAAACGTGTGGACTGTATGTTCTAGTTCTCTCAACTCTTCCCACTGTTGCCACGTCGGGCAAATTGTTCGTAACACGCGGAAACATACTCCCCTCGTTGGAGTCCTGTGGCTCCAAATAAACGTATAGAGCTCCGCGAACTACACTTAAAATAACGGACACAATTTGGCAAATGACCGTTTCACTTTGCCACTACCACACAACGGTTGCCACTCTCGCAACACCATCACGACCGGCATGCAACTCCAACACCCTGCCTAATTGCCATCTGGAAGGTGGTAGGTTGTCCTCTTTGATGAGTACCATCATTCCTGGCTCCAACGTCGATACGCCATCCTTCATCCATTTCTTCCTCTGCTGCAATTCTCCCACATACTCGGAGTTCCACCTCTGCCAAAAATGCTGTTTGGCAGCCTGAACTTTCTGGAACTGTGACAATTTTCCAGGATTTATCGCAGTAACGTCCGGATCTGGCACCTCATGGTATGTTCGCCCAATCAAGAAGTGCGCGGGGGTGAGTGGGATCAAATCATGAGGATCAGTGGATAACGGGCACAGAGGTCGAGAATTCAAGATCGCCTCTATTTGAGTCAGTAATGAATAAAATTACTCAAAAGTAAAATTAGCGCTACCTGCGGTTCTCTTTAGATGATGTTTGACGGATTTGACACCTGCCTCCCATAAACCACCGAAATGAGGTGAATGAGCAGGAATATAACGCCATTCGATTTCGCTTTCGCTACAAGCATCAATAATTGAAGGAGCCTGCTCTCGTAGAAAACTAGAAAGTTCATTTAGCTCCGAATTTGCTCCGATAAAATTGGTGCCGTTATCAGAGTTGATTTGTTTAGGCTTACCGCGTCGGGCAACGAATCGCCTTAAAGCTAAAATAAAAGTTTCGGTACTTAAGTCTGACACCAATTCGAGGTGTATGGCCTTTGTAGAAAAGCAAACGAACAAACATACGTAGCTCTTAATCAGTTTGCATCCGCGCCCTCCTTTATTCTTTATTAGAAACGGCCCTGCGTAGTCAACACCGCAAATTTCAAACGGGAAATTGCAAGAAAATCTCGATTTAGGTAATTGACCCATAATTGGCGCTAAGATTTGTGCCCTTTGTCTTCTACACGTAACGCATTTATTGATAACGACCCTGCACAGACGACGTCCGGAGACTATCCAATACTTCTCACGCAGCGTTGCGAGTAATGCTTGAGGGCCCGCATGATAGATAACTTGATGCTCCAAGGTTACAATTAAAATAGCTAATGGATGCTTCGCGCACAATACCATTGGATGCATTTTCTCATATGCATAGAAAGAGTTTTTTAATCTGCCGCCTACTCTGATGATTCCGTTTTCATCAAGGAAAGGTGACAAACTCAAAATTCTCGATTTGTGATTCAATTTTACATTTCGTGACAAACAATCATATTCTTCAGGAAATGAAACCCTTTGAGCCAATCTTATCAAACATAAAAGGGCCTCACTTAGCTCACTAACGGACAAAGGACCGCTGAGCTTTTTCGACTTCATGCTATTGCATTTAAATCTATTAATATAGCTAATCACTCGCCTCAATTTTGTCAAAGTTGAGTATCTGGAAAACAATGAATCGGCAAAGTGCAAATTTGAAATAAAAGCCTTGGATGTCGCGTTTAACTCTGGCAAATTTGGTACACTAAATTTGACCTCAGGCCAATTCGATTCGTTTTCAGATAGAAAATCTGGCCCATTCCACCATACGACCATGTCACTTAACTCATGTGGATATGCTCCCCTCGATAACACGTCCGCGGGGTTATGTTTTGTTTCAATGTAACGCCACTGGTGGTCCGCTGTCACTGTCTGAATTTCAGATACTCGATTGGCTACAAACGTTTTTAAAGTACTAGGGCAATGACCAAGCCACCCCAACACCACAGATGAGTCACTCCAAAATGTGCATTTGTCAAACTTTAAGTTTATTGAGTTCAAAACCTTACTTGCCAATCGCGCTAGTACCAAGGCTGCACAGAGCTCTAATCGGGGTATGCTTAAAGTCTTTATTGGTGCTACCTTTGTTTTAGCACACAACAAATGTACCTCTATATTACCATATTCGTCTAAGCTTTTAACATACAGACACCCCCCGTATGCATCCTTTGAGCTGTCCGCAAATCCGTGTAACTCGACAACTTTGGCATTTTCACACAATACTCGACGGGCAATTGATAAATCATTTAATACTGGCAAATCATCGCGAAGTTTTGCCCAGCTGGTGCATATACTTTGTGAAAGCGTGTCGTCCCACGAAACCCTTTCCAACCAAAGCGACTGCAGCATAATTTTTGCCTTTATTATACAAGGGCTTACAAGACCTAAGGGGTCATACACCCGAGATATGTGTGATAGTAGGGTTCTTTTTGTGACCCTTTCCTCCTTATTGAAGTTACCAATTTTATACGTCATTACGTCCCTGGAAGATGCCCATATTAATCCAAGCGTTTTGCAGTTTTCTCTTTCACCAATTTTGAACGCATGTTCCTGTTGATTATTTGCGCTAATCACAGATAGCAATTCTGCACTGTTTGACTGCAGCTCAAAACATCCCGATTTTAGCGTATCAGATACGTCTCTGCAAATCTCTACAGCCTCATTTAAATTTTCGCACCCTGTAAGCATGTCATCAACGTAAAAATCATGCAAGATTATTCGTGATGCACGCGGATTCGATTGGGCAATTTTCAGACCCAATTCTTGTAAGCATCTTGTGGTGTGGCTAGATACGCGGCGGAGGCAGTGCCGTAGGTGACGGTGTTCAGCTGATAGGTACCCAAATCCTTAGAAGAATCATCTCGCCACAATATCTGTTGCAAATAACGCTGTTCGGGCTCTATCAGCACTTGCCTATACATATCGCCAGCTATGACAATTTTATGAGTACGAAAACGAAGTATAATGCTTAGCAAATCATCCTGTACAACAGGACCTACCATTTGTAGATTATTTAGAGAAAACCCAGATGAAGTAGGGCAACTTCCGTCAAAGACCACACGCAACTTAGTGGTCTGAGAGTCTTCCTTGAAGACCCCATGATGTGGCATATAGTATGTCGTGACCGTCAAATCATCGCTGTCTACACGCGCCATGTGATTGAGCGATTCACACTCTTTCATAAAATCATTGTAACTTTCCCTGAAGTTCAAGTCTGTGACTAACCGTTTTTCCAGTTTATGGAATCGTTTTTCAGATATAAACTTAGAATCGCCAAGCTTACTCACACTGTCTTTGAATGTGATAGAAACTATAAAACGGCCATCCGTATCGCGTCTCGTAGTATTTACGAAATGTGTTTCACACAAATTTTCTTCGACCGATTTGGGCCTTTCCGTAGGTATCTCCTCAATCTCCCAGAATGAGGCTAATTGACGTTGAATATTATCATTGTTCACAGAAAGATTGCAAATCGACGTGCACCTATTGTTGCTAGGATATAAACTTAATGGCCCAGATACTACCCATCCCAGGACGGTTTTTTGAAGCAAAGGCATGTCTATGCCCAACTTAACTTGACCTATGCAAAGTAACTCATAGAATACTTCGATACCAATCAACATGTCTATTTTACCTGGCAAATAAAAAGACGGATCTGCCAACCGCAGATTTTTCGGAATATTCAACAGATTTTGATCAATCCTGATCATTGGTATGTCATTCGTTATGGTTGGTAACACATGAAAAGTTAAACATCTACTAAAGTCATTAATCATCGATCTTATTTCCAAATCGCACCTTGCATTGGCTATTAAAGCATTTTCATTGAGCCCAGACACCGCAAATCGGACATTCGTAGTTGTTATACCTAGTCGATTGCAAAATTCTTCAGTGATATAATTCGATTGACTCCCCGAGTCTAAAACCGCACGCCCATGGCACGACTTCCCATCCTTGTCTAAAGTCGGCCACTCACGTACAGTTTCAACTGACAGTTTGAACTGTGCAGTTAAACTGTTCAGTCTGTTTGCACACACACATACAGGTCAATCTATCAGTTTTAAATAATGCATCGAACAGAGCAGAACGATTTGGCCGCTCTGGGTATACTTTGTGTAGTTTTACAAAAAAGTAAACAATGTAAAAAGCGTAAACAGTGGTGCAAGAAGTGGTTACAGAGACGAAATCAATCTTCGGACATCAGCTTATTAAAAGAATTGAGAGGGGAACCATTAGATTTCCTTAATTATTTGCGCATGACAGAAGCAGTGTATCAAAAGTTGCTTTTGCTGGTTTCTCCTTTGATTAAGAAGAAAGATACAGTTATGAGGGCAGCAATATCTCCACACGAACGATTAACTGCTACCTTGAGATTTCTGGCAACAGGACGGTCGTATGAGTGTCTCAAATTCTCGACTAGAATATCACCTCAATGTCTTGGTAAAATTATCCCAGAAACGTGCAACGCCTTGTACGCAGTTTTAAAGAAGTATATGGCGGTACGTATTTTCTTCTTAATTTAGAATAAGAGAAACAGTTGTTTTTGGCAAACTGCTTTTATTTTTATGAAAGGGTACATTTTCATGAATTGGCATCAAATTGAGAAAAATAAGTCGATGCTGTGTTGTCCTGAGAAAAGGATAATTGTCCACTTCCATCATTATGGAACTGTCTAAATGAACCTTGGCCGTATGTTGGAGATGGCGTGGGACATGGAGTGACATTAGGAGATTGACTTGCTAACGCTGTACATGAACCTTGTCCATATGTTGGAGATGGCGTGGGACATGGGGTAGTATAAGGACTCTGACTTGGTGATGCAGCATAACGGTATATTGGCGCTGTGTTTAGAGAACCCATTTCCGCCTCGAATAATATGTCACCTATCTTTTTCTCCGCAATGAGAGCCTGGCGTTTTTCCAAACCTCTCAACTTTACAGCAATAGTTTTTCCCAACAGATCAAAGCGGTCAAGTTGTTCCTTGGGTGTTTTGAAATGGTCACGCACTGTCATCAAGGTTTCTGTTGTGAGATCCTCATTTTTCTTTTGTTTTTTATTACAACCAGGTCTTGAGGTTATTGGCTGTTGAGATTTTCTTGACACTTCTTCAACAACCGCAGTTCTCATTTCTACAACATCATCAGCCTCTCCTGTTTCTTCAGTTGGAAGTGCATTGTCAACGGATTCCTGAAAAATAGAAGCAACTGTGTACTAGGATTGACAAAAAAAAATAAAACATCTAATTTACTTTAACATAACATATTTAGCTATTGTTGCCTGTTTCAGTTTCCCAACTCAGGAGAAAAATGGAAGGAGATTGCAGCTTCGTTTGAGGAAAGATGGCATTTCCCACACTGCATCGGTGCCTTAGATGGGAAGCATATTGATATAATTCCGCCACAAAACTCTGGATCGTATTATTATAATTACAAAGGCAAACACAGTATGGTTCTTCTGGCTATAGTTGACGCAAAATACCGATTCCTACTAGCAGATTTTGGAACAAATGGGCGGATTTCCGATGGCGGTGTTCTTCAGAATACAACTTTCTTTGAGAAGCTGGTGAACGAGGATTTAAATATTCCCCAACCTGATGATATTTGTGACAATTTCCAAAACGTTCCGTATGTATTCGTTGCGGATGATGCGTTTCCTCTCAGAACTGATATTTTGAAACCATTCAGGCAGGGACTATTAGATTCAGCAGACAAAGAGGTTTTTAACTATCGATTATCACGAGCAAGACATATTGTCGAAAACGTTTTTGGTATACTTGCTTCACGATTTCGTATCTTTCAGTCTCCAATTAATTTAGAACCAGAAAATATAGAAAAAATTGTAATGGCTGCTTGTGCTTTACATAACTTTTTGATTGAACATCAATCTAGTACATACGCTCCTGCAAACTTAAGGTATCAAGAAAATAGTAACGATGGATCTCTTATTTCTATTGGGTGCGATAGTTCACAATCAAATATGATTCCACTAAATCGTCAAAATCGAGGAAATATTGGCAATGACGCAAAAGAAATCAGACAACGCTTTATGGACTACTTCATGAATGATGGCGAAGTCCCATGGCAGAAGAATCACATTTTAAAAAACAAATAAAGACATTATTTGATGTTTACAAAAATAAATAGAAAATTTGTTTTTCCATGTATTCATAATATCGTGTTTTTCTTACCTCGCCACTTTCACCATCCAAATTTGAAATTGAGGTCCTTGAAATCTCTTGATCTTGCAAAAAATCAAACATGTCATAATACCAAAGTACCGGCTTGTAAATGCTATCCGTTGATGTTCCAGACTTGTATGATGCATCAACTTTCTTTTTCTCCTTCCGAAAAGCAGTTCTCAAACTGTTAATTTTATTGATCACAGACTTCTTGTCAGCACCAGGTTCAACTTCCACCAACTTTTGTGCCAATTTGGCATATGCAGCATCCTTCTTCGTACGATTATGATATTCCGGGCTCTTTACTTGCCAAAGACAAGGTTCCGATCTGTATATCGCAATAAAATCTACGATCACTGGGTTTGGCTTATTCCGCGACATCTTCAAAAAACCACCCGCACGGTGCTGAGACACAACTTGAACTGAGAACTGTGCAGTCGAACCCCCACACACGCAACGATCAGTTGAACCATTCAGTTAAAACAATTGACAATTTATTTGTCTCAGTTTAACTGTCCAGTTGAGTTAAACTGCGACTGACACACCCACACACGTTGAGGTTTATAGTGGATACCAAATAAAACCCGATGCACGTCATCGATCTGGAGCTGTGCGCTGTTGCCAGAATTGATATGAGCTCTTTACACCGACTGTTAAGTTGTTTTGGCATTTTGGATACTTTATACCACTTCACAGTAACTTTTGTTCTGAGAAGAACAACTTTTAATTGGCAAGGCAACGATTCAAAGCTCAAATAGCGCAAAACTCACAAACTAAACAATAAAGAACTAATAGTACGACAAAAGGACAATGGCAACTGATGTCAACAAATGAGAAGTGGCAACCTCACATTTCTCTGCACGGCACTACCAACCGAATCGAGACGGGGAAATTTAAACTTCAAGTAGAAATGTCACATTGAATGTAGTCAACTGTTGGTAACCATGATTTTTATGAATGACATCACCTATCACGTGCATCGGATTTTATTTGGTATAGTGGATACCAAATAGAACCCGATGCACGTCATCGATCTGGAGCTGTGCGCTGTTGCCAGAATTTGCACATTTTCTTTTAAGCAAATAAATTTAATAAAATAAATTGTTTATATGTACCTACCATTTACTATAATACCATTATATTAAAAATAAATAAACTTGTTGTAAAATTAAATTCCTTTCTGAATATAAACACCTGATTTGGAAGGTATTCAAAAACACAAAATATTTAAAGAACATAAATTGTTTTCTCGTATTTTAATTAATTTGATTATTTATTTATGATATAGGAACTACAACACTTTTCCAATTCACATCAAAGAGAAGAAAGAACTCGGGTAATGCGATGTTACACAACACCGGCAACTAGCGGCAAGTACTCTTTATCGAGCCTGATATTAACCGCATGGTATGGTTCAGTTGTATATCAATTCCGGAGTTTGATTACATTATACAGAATATATTTTGATGTTTTAACTATCCTGAATCACTGGAATCAGTAGAGTCATCGTTAACATCGATAATAATGGGAAGAATTCTGTCTATCCATTACTTGTTCCCTTCTATACCATTTCATAATTATCTCCTCTGTATGTCTAATGGAGTTCTTCCACATATCAGGGGTAATAGTTCGGAGTGCCTCTTGCCACATTTTTAGGCAGTCATTTTCAGTGTGGCCATCTCTTCCAATATGCCGATTATAGTAATTTTTTGCAATCCCCCAAATTAGCTCAGTTGGGTTAAAAATACAGTGGTATGGAGGTAACCGTAAAACTTGTCCATATTGTTCTGCCAAGTTATCGACCACATACATTTTGGTTGGTTTATTCCTAAAAAAAAAATAAATAGGAACAAAATGCATAAAGATTGGGTATTCTGCTCACTGTGCAACAATCGTTAGAAGTTCAGATTTGAATGCTTCATGTGGATACTGTATTTTTTGTTCAGTTAACCAATTCTGAATTTCAGCCTTTCTCCATGAGCTATTGGGAGTTTTTACTAATAACATGCTATGGTATGATGCATTATCCATAACAATCACAGAGGGTTGGGTCAAGCTTATTAGTAATTGATTTTCAAACCAATATAAAAAGTTTTGCTGGTTCATTTCACCATGGTAATCATTAAGCTGGGTTTTCGATGAAAATATGAGCGACGCACCTTCAACAAATCCATTTTCATTGACAGCGTGAACTATGATATACCTACAAATGCATTTCATTTTTATATAGAGCTTATTTTTCTATACATTTGAAAGCCCTCCTTTTTCCATCAACTTTGGTACTTCTAACACTTCGCTTGTCATTATCTTGCCATGAACGGTGAACGGTGCCATTTTGGAAAATCCAAGTCTCATCTAAGAAGACAAACTGATAAATAGCCTCTTGTTTATTTTGTACGTATGATCTCAAAAAACTAACACGTTTAGATGCCCTCGTTTGGGGTTATCTTTCTCCCATTTGAAGCCTATTTCTTCTAATAGTCTGCTTAACGACATACGACTGCCCTCAAATAATTGCTTAGCTTTTAATTGCTCCCACAAGCCAGACAGTGTTACATGTTGTTCTACAAAAAAACAATTATACATTCTCTAATTCAAAATATTTTTGTTGTGCAACCTACGGTTTTCATACATGTTGTAAATAGTATTACGAATACCACTTGTATTGAGCCTTGAAATATTAGTGACTCTCTTTGGAGTACATCGTTTTTTAGGAGGCGATTGTAAAACTTCTTTATTTTTGACTGCTTGTGAAATACCACTTATAGTAGACACATTTAATTTCAATGCTGCTGCTACACGCAAAAAATAAGAAAAAGAAGATTAACCTTAATGTTCTTATTACTTATGCTATCTACAAGGGTAAACTCACCTCCCTTACAGCAGTTAAAGGCAAAAGTGGGCCATTATTATCCCTTTCCCGTTCGAAGTATTCTAATAAGCATGATATGAGCTCTTTACACCGACTGTTAGGTTTTTTGGGAATTTTGGATACTTTACACCACTTCACAGTAACTGTTGTTGTGAAAAGAACAATTTTTAATTGGCAAGGCAACGATTCAAAGCTCAAATAGCGCAAAACTCACAAACTAAACAATAAAGAACTAATAGTACGACAAAAGGACAATGGCAACTGATGTAAACAAATGAGAAGTGGCAACCTCACATTTCTCTGCACGGCACTACCAACCGAATCGAGACGGGGAAATTTAAACTTCAAGTAGAAATGTCACATTGAATGTAGTCAACTGTTGGTAACCATGATTTTTATGAATGACATCACCTATGACGTGCATCGGATTTTATTTGGTATCCACTATATCCACTATAACTGCACAGTTTTCACTGAACAGTTCAAACTGTCAGTTGAAACTGTACGTGAGTGGCCGACTTAACACTTCTACAATGGCGGTGGACAGCAAGGCCTGGCTTGGCGCGTACGACGACAAGAGGTTTGTACCAACATCGTCTATTTGCACCGTCACTTGAACCACCACGAAACTGTTGGTCTCCGACAGCGTGCGCATGCGTCAATTGAGGACGATACCGTGATCGTACGAATTAAATCTCTTGGTACAGTTGTTCATCAATCAGCCTTCATCCTCATCCCTACTGTCTCGTGTACTGTGGTTCCGTGGCTCCTGTCACCATAGAAGTTAACCTCGATTTTGTGTGTCGTTTTCGTTTGCTGCATTTTTCTGCCTTATAAGTTTACAACCTATTTTTCTATTTTAGTTTGAAAGCGTTTTAACTAAGATCAAGATGAGTGACGACGGATTCAGCGACTTTGCATCGGAGGAGTCTTCTTCGGATGATGACTTAGAATTTATGCAAGACTCGAAAGTAAAAAACGAAGACTATTTGGGTAATTTTGAAAGTTAATAACGAGGAACATAGCATAATGAGAATATTCACTTTTCAGAGACAACTGTCCCACAATATTCTGATGAAACATTTTTCGAGCATTTCCGCGTGTCGAGAAATGTGGTCAACGAAATAAGCGGCATGTTCCAGAACAGTGAATACTACAGAAGCAAATCTGGCCCATATGGCAAACTGTTATCCGGTGACCAGGTATTCACTTATTATTAATTTGTAGGATATAGTAGTAGCAACATATATATATATATATATATATGTATATATATACATAATTTATTTGTTTATCAATTGAACATACAAAACTGCTTAAAGTACTTACACAAAATAATATTTCTAATAAGATTCCTGCTGACAAGTCAGTATTTTGTGTAAGTACTATATAATATAATAAATAATATATATATAAAGATATTATACTTACTTAGAAACCAATTGTAGGTACTGGTCTATTTATGGTACGTTGGGCATGAGGCTGCAGCACATTTCAGGAATAATGGGTTTCCAAGAGTCATCGGTTGTATAGATGGATCGCACATAAAACTTGATAAACCAGAAAATGACCCTGAATCATACATAAACAGAAAAGGCTTTTACTCTATTCAAGTAAGTGTAGTAATTGATCATGTATAATACATATAATGTCAAAAGAAATGATATATTTGCAATTATATGGGCTACATTTATTTGTATACAGCTATTGAAATTCTTTTGAACAATACATATACATTAAAATGCTTCACTGCAATATAAAGATGCAAAATATCAGATTTATTCAACATCTCTTGTCTTCTGCACTGCTACTGTATGTCATGCATTTTCAGAAACTTGATGTCTAAGTTTTTTAGTGAGATTTATATAATAGAAAGTTATTTCATGTTTATTTTTCTTCATTTTAGATCCAGGCTGTGTGTGATCATCAGAGAAGGTTTAAAGATTTATTTGTAGGGTATCCAGGATCAGTTCATGACAGTTGAGTTTTTCGGACTTCTCCTCTAAGTCAGACATTAGAACAAAAATGTGGGACCTATTTTATACTGGGAGACAGTGGATACCCTGTTCAAAAAAATCTGCTAACACCCTACAAAGATCGAGGGACTCTAACTCACCAACAGATAAATTACAATATAAAGTTATCTAAAAATAGATGCATTATTGAACATTCTTTTGGTATGCTGAAGCAAAAATTCCGTCAACTCTATCACATCAAGTTACGGAAGATACCATTGATAGTCCATTTTGTAAGAGCAGTCTGTGTTCTCCATAATATTGCTATCAAGGATGAACTTCCTGATGCTAATTTAATAGAGACAATCGAGGCTGAGAATGCTGCAGTAGCCATTGGTGATGATAATGAGGATATAGAAGATGATGGTAGTGCTGTTGCTATTAGGGACCACATTGCAGCTATATTATGAAGTGGGACAGCTAATAATTTCATAAAAATATGGGTCCACAAATGCTCCATTTTTATGATAAATGGTAGCTTTCCATCTTTCACAGTTTATTTTACATTCATCAAAAAACTGTGGGGGTATTTGTATGAATATTAAAAACTTGAGCATCGAATCTATTCAATCACAGGTTTTTGATAAATGTAAAATAGAAAATTAAAGGTGGAAAACATTTAACACATGCACACATATGAATAGAGCATGACTGGGTCCATTGTCATGTGAACTTTTCTTTACATTTTACAATATTTTATCTGACCTTAAATGTCTGTCACTACATTTTGTAACACCTTGTATAATATCATTTAAATAGTTTGTGTTAATTTTAAAGAAACTCATGTGCATAATGAGGTGAAAGTATTTATTACTGCTTTGTAAAATCTATACATGTACATTTCTCTTGTTTTATGTTGATAGATTGTCTTTTATTGCAGTCTTTCCCCAAATCACAAATGTATTTGTAGTGTTTAGGATCTAATAAATGTGTTGCATTATATGACTATGTGTATGAATCAAGAGCTGTAGCAGAAGGTATCCAGTATATGGATGGTCATGACAATACAATATGTGATCTCCTTGTTAACTAATAACTGAAAATAAATTGTCAAGATAGATGTCAATGAAATAGTAATGCGAATTAATTGCTTTTTCCTTGTAGCGTTAATAACAGAATAATAAAGGAGCACCAACAATTTAAATAAAAGAGAAGTATGAAAATCAAAAAAATATATTTCCATATATTTAACATTTAAAAAATCAGTCAGTTTTATTCATCCATGGGCAGTCGGTTAAACCACATGAATTAAATGAACTTATTTACTACTTTATGTGACAGCAGCATTTTAAAAGTACACAATAAGAATAGACAGTTAAGAGTTACACTGACGATCTATATTGATATGAATTTAGAATCAGAGCTATTTAATAGAAAACCCTTCATAATGTTACTGTAACTTTCAACATTTCGTGTCTTTTTTTTCTTATTTTGCACTATGATAAAGGCTGCCAGGGCAGCTGAAATGTCCATAAATAAGTCCACTCATGTGTTTGATTCACCAGCCAGTGATGAGGTAGACAAATTAATTATAAATTCTTTGTACCATCACAACATAAATGACACACTTGAAAGCTAATTAGAGATACTGCAACAAAACATAAATCAGTCTATCCAAAAGGAATTGCACAACTGAAAACTAATCAAAAACAAGCAGAGTACACCCTGTTCAAATGACACTTGCACCTATTTCAGCCTACCAAATAAGCTTACAAGTAACTTTAAAATAAACTAATTCCATAACACTTTTCAGTATGTGGTAGGGGAAGGTTTTAACTTTGATTTAGACACCTGTCAATGCAAACCATAAGTTTCAACACAGAAAATGCTTATTTGTAGAGATGTTCAGACATAAATTGCTTATAACTCGGAAATGCTCAACTTTAAATAATTTACACAGTTTTGGGCTGTGTCCATTTTGTTGAGAATACTGGGATCACTTGACACATAGGTCACTACTAACTTGTTTCTGACGTTATGTTAAGCATTCAAGTTATGAACGAGTTAATGTCTGCATACCCATTATTTTCAAAACTGTTGAGTATCTAATTAAGGTTAAGACCTTCCTCTACAAGGTCCTGAAGAGTACTGGAAAAAGAGTGCATACCCATTTGTTTGAACTTTATGTACTCATTTGCAATAATATAAAACTAGAACACAAATCAAATTTGAACATAACATAATATAAAATTAATATTTCAATACTGAACACAACAAAACTAATAAACTATGACTTAACTTTAATGGCAAAATACAGTAAAGCTAGGAGCTTGTTTGGTGACAGTTACACTGCTTTTCTTTGAGGATGTTGTTTCGTTCCTCAATCAGTTGGTTCCTTTTTTTCATTTCTTCTAATTTTAAGTTTTCTATGTGCAGTTTTTCCTCATAATACGTTTTGCAGTCACTTCTTATTTTTTCCATAATACCTTGTCTTTTTCGAATTATCTGACTTTTCTTCTGTGGTGTCACTGCTTGCAATGATTTTGGGCTGCTTACGCTTTTAGATGGTGAAGAGACATCTGGTGCAGCTGTAGTGATAGCATTATCACTGTTCATATCTATTTGAGTATCTATTTGATCACTTGCTAGCAGCAATTCAGGATGGATATTTTTTTTCTTGAGAAATACCTCCTCCATTTCATGCTTATACTCAAAAAATGTTCTTCCCCTACCTAAAATTACAGGAAAAAATTAAATTACATCCTGCCAAGCATATGCAAAGTTGCCTTAGCTTTTACATCTAACTATGGTGTATCTCATTGGATTCATAATTAAAAGGCAATTTCAATTACTTCTCAGCTTTAGGAGTCCTCTTACCTGTTTGCCTTTGGTTATCAACATATTTTTTATAGTTCCGCTCCAGTACCCTCCATCTATTCATGCAATTGTTTGGCGTTACCTTAATATTATAGTCTAGTAAAGCCTGTGATATTTTCCACCACATCATCTTTGAATTTTTGACGTCGAAGGAACCTAGCTTCCTTTTAAAGGTTCCATAAACTTCAATGAGAATTTTGGTTGCCTGATGACTCCATCTAAATTCTGGTGCTCGTGCCGTGGTACTCTCGCTCTGCAGAGCACTTGTATTTGGCATAACAAGAAACTCGTTTAGTTCTGTAAACAGAAGGCAGTTAGCTCCATACGTCCCGACCCCATAGTCGTCAAACTTACCATAAGCTGGGATATTTTGATTCTCCATGGCAAAACAACATTCCTTATCCTAATAACCTTCAAATTTCAACATTCTAATTTCTATTCAATGCGCATGTGTGGACTCACAGTCCTCGCTACGGACCAGGTACTGTTTTGACGGTCCAAAAACCGTTCGTTGAACTGTCGGAGATCTGTTGGAACAGTGTATCAAGCGTCCCATGAACCGTCATAGGTTTGTGTTGGAACACTTCAAGCGGACTGCGCACGTGCGTGACGGTACAATGTACGGTACGCAGCGTTGTTGGTACAAACCCAAGCACGCAGCCGCGATATCGCCGCCGTTGGTGGGTTCCTCAACTGCTTCATGCGACGGTGCCGGCGCTTGTTCCGATTTCTGACTTTCTTTGGGAGTGTTACTTTTATCGAAATGTAACAACGTGTTATATTTAGCTTTGCAACGCTTGCAACCAATTGACCTGCACTGTCTGCTGAAGTGCCCTAACCTGAGACAGTTCATACACACCCTTTTGTCTCTTAATTTGTCATACCGCTCTGACACACTTAATTTATTGAACAAAGGGCAATTCTGCACAAAATGATTTTCATTACAAATCACACATTTGGGCGCTGTAGTCGATGCTAATCCTTTGCTCGTGGTCGCATTCCGACGACCTCTAACCATTTTATCATTATTAGCTTTGGACTCTATTGTTTCCAGTACATTTGCTCTGCCCTGCAGGAACTCTTGCATATCCCGTAACTTGGACTTATCAGACAAACGTGACGCAGACCTTTCCTACTCCCTCAAGGACGACTTATCTAACTTCGTAGATATGATGTAGATTATGAGTGTGTCCCATGAATCTACCTGTTCACCTAACTGTCCAAGGGACTTCAAGTGTTTGGATACAGTGTCGATGATACGCCTAATATCGCAGGCCGCTTCTCTAGCTATCGGAGTTATATTGAAAATCGACTGCACGTGATTATGAGTTAGCAATTTAACATTGTCATATCGCTCTATTACAGCATCATACGCGTTTTTGTAGTTTGCTGCCGTGAAATCTATGCATTGAATGGAATTTACGGCATCTCCCTGCAATGCAGCCTTCAAGTAATGAATATCAGTTATACTTTCATTTTCATGTATAAGTGAATTATAGATTTCCCGGAATTCAACCCAAGAGTTGGCATCGCCGCTGTATTTCGGCAGTTCGATTTTCGGCAAACGAACGTCGATTTGAACGATCCCCTCTCCTCGGGCACGCGCACTGCTCGCAGTGGAAGGGACGGAATTCGCGCTGTTGCCAGACTTTACTTCTGATTTGTCGTTTATTGTCGATTTTGCCAAACCCAAATAGCGATCAAAATAGTTTTCTACGACTTCACGTTCCGCGATTTGCTCATCCAGATCATCATCAAGAACTAAAGATTCAATTTGGCACTGTATTCCTGCAAATTCCTCATTTGCCGCGTCTATTCTTTCAATTTTCTGCCGTAGTTCAAACAAGGTTCCATCGTCTAAAGATTCCGTGGCAGATACATTATCTAAATACTTTTTGAAATTAGGAAGTCGCGCTTTTATTACGCCTCTCTGGCGCACCAAATTCGACAGATCATACGACATATTTTACAATTTGCAAAGCACTAAATTCTAAAGCAATGCAAGCAATTCTAATAAGCGTCTTGAAATCAACGACCTTAAGGGCAAGATAATGGGCAAAAGGGAGTCAAGGACTCACCGCACCCCTTTGCAAGGCTAATCTCGAATCTCGCTGGTACTGGTAGTTCAGGTTCCAACTTGATATTCGGCCGAAGGTCCAAAATGTTGAGAGAGGTAGTTGGCCTTGGGGGTGAAATAACAGCTATTTGTTCCTTTTCCGGTGGTGAGTCGGGTTTATTCTCTTTGTACAGTGTTGTAGTCTGCTACTAGACGTTTCACAACTTACAATGGGTATTTTACATTACATTTAACAATTTTAGAGACAGTTTTGTGCTCTTAGAAATAAAACATGTGGACTGTATGTTCTAGTTCTCTCAACTCTTCCCGTTCCCACTGTTGCCACGTCGGGCAAATTGTTGGTAACACGCGGAAACAATCATGGAGGTGGAAACCCTACCTTGGAATGTATAAGATCCGGTGTTATGACGATCCTGACCTTTCATTCCGACCTAAAATGAAACGCCGTTAAGGCCGATCCGGAATTGATCCTAAGCAGATTCGAATTAAAAAATGTGTACACTCAAAATAAAACCATCATTTGGGCGTAGAGAGTAAACTAACGCATGTTTTCAACAAGCACCTTAATTCAATGAACTGTTGCAACATAATGCCAACGAGGCAAATTGCCGTCAGTGTTGATAGGCAATGCGGTGATGAGCTTCGCTATCCTTTTCAGTGGAGATTAATGAAACATGAAACGAGAACCAGCGGAAGTTGTGTTCTCTAAGCACAATGACGCTTATGGTCAAATGTCATGTCAAGGAGTCGTGTTCCGAGTATACCAACGACATTCCATCCTAACACTTTCGACACAGTGTTGCTTGATGAATGATTATTACAATTTTTGTACGATAACCGGGAGACGAGAGAGAGCGACCTCCCCCCTCTCCCCTCAAAAGATCACTGAGGAAAGGTAAATACGCAGAAAATGATTGTCTCCTCGCTCTTCAATTTTCAATAGTCGGTTACCCTCCTCCCCGTCTTCCCGTTGTCACAACATTCGCCAGAAGTCCCGCCACCTCAAAATGTCCCTCTGGATCCGCCGCCTGTGAGTGAACTTATAGTTTAGTTAATATTACACGTGTCTAACAACCCCCCATCCTCACCCCCTGCTTCTCAATGGATTCTTGTAGTATTATTATGGGTAGACCCCTTCAACTTTGCTCTTCAGTTATCAACAGGCAGGCTACTTATACAGGGTGACTTCGAAGTTGAGTCATTTATTTTAAATTTTAACAGTGAGTAGATCTGATCAAAAGAAATGTTTTTTCTTTTACCATTTTTCTGGTAAAATTAAAGTAACAAAGTTATAGCCCTTTGGAAGTTTGAGTACCGCCCTGCCTATTATATGCTCGTGTTTGGCGACAACGGATATAATCCGCCTGACCGGTTCATCGCATCGGAAACAAAAAAGCGAAAGAATTTGAAACGTTTATCACGATGTTTTTCGTCAGTCGATAACGCGTAAGTGAATAGTAGTGTGTTGCGTGGTTCAAACGAAATCAAAAATGGCACATGTTTACGAAAATGCTGAACTTGTGGACATGATTCTTATTTACGGGGGGGCAGTCTTTACAAAATGCTCCCGGATGCATCACGGATTTACGCGAATCGGTTTCCCAAACGAGTGCAACCAACCCCTCGTGCCTTTGTTAATGTAGTACAAAGGGCTCGTGAATCAGGTGACTTAAGACCTCACAGGTGAGGGCATGCTGCTCCAAGACCGCACGATCAAATACAGGTCCGCACTGAAGTACTTGTCGGGAGGATACTTTATTAAACAAGGTAACATTTTTTTTTTATTTTTACACACATATTTTGGTTTATCTTCCTTCTACAATCATTATCTGAAAATTAATGACTCAACTTCAAAGTCACCCTGTATATAATAGTATAGCAATCTCAGATTTATATGTAGAACTGACAACGTTTCGGGATATTAATGCACAATCTGGCAACAATGCCGCACTCTCAAAAAATGACTGCTGACAACCATACAAGTCACAACGCCATTGAATAGCATGGGATTAACAGTGTTGCCAGTCTAGTACAAATGTACTAGATCTAGTACATTTTAACATGATTTTGTACGCTAGTACGTTTTGTTGAAAATCTAGTACGACTTTCGAATTTTTCAATAACAACTTTAGTTCAGACTAGTAAAACATGAAACAGTGGCTTTGTTAAAAACAAAATTAAGAAATAGATTGACGATAGAAACACTTAATGATATTTTACATGCAAAAGGAAATTTAGGAGAATGCTTCTGTTATTCTTGGGAACCGTCACAATCTCTTTGTCGTAGACAGATTGTTTACAAATAAATTATGACACTTCGTGTGGTGTGTCAAAATGTCAATCATCCCCAAAAAAATACCTTGTGTACCTTCGAACATTCTGTGTTCTGTGTACATATATTATTATTATTATATGTATAAAAAATGGTTGTTCTGTTTAGTTCCTAAGAATACCAAAGATTTTAATTTGATTTTTATTATGTTTACTTATTTTATTAGTTTTAGGTATATGATTCCTTAGATCTAGTTTTTATATTGTTTTTTGTTTTATATTCAGTTTTTAAATATATATATATATATATATAATATTATTTTGCCTGTTATTTCCTATTTATCCTCACATGTATTTTATATTAAAAATAGTAAATAGTGTGAGCAGCAGCTTAAACTGAATCTAGTACAATTTATTATAATCTAGTACATTTTTCGGCTCAAGGCTAGTACACTTCGATCATAAATTCTGGCAACACTGGGGATTAAATCTTCTTCAGTGTATATGTTTTGTGAGGTCAACACTGGTTATATGTCAATTTGAAAATGCAATGCAATAGCAATACAAAATTGTGATTGTGCTTGTGGCGGCGAAGAAACCGGCTTGAACTTTTCATTTTTAGCATTTTACTCTGCAAGAACCCTTGAGTCATTGATTTTATTACACTATAAGATGTCAGCATTCCATACCATCAAGCAGTTAGAAGAGCGAAACGTTCCAAATGAAATTAATTTCATGGTTTGGAGCGATAAGATGGATCTCGTTGCATTTTCTAACATAAAAGGTAACTGCATTCATGAAACATAATTACTTCATTTGCATGTCTTCGAACGATGTGCCTTATGGAACTAAGCTTGTAGCATTTAGGATTTCAAATGTAGTTCAATAACATGACACAGGGTGGGCCATTTCAAGTTAATAGGCTATGCAAAAAAATGTATGAACACCTTATCGAATTTCTGGTTTCATCAGGAATGCTGAACGTTGACCTTGAAGAATAAAACAATATCATTTAAATAACTTCCACAGCTAGCCCCACAGTGCTTTATCTGGCTACCCCAACTTTTCAAGTACTTTTTTGATTCATTGAACTTGAACTTCTTGAATGGCAGCTTCAATTTCGTGTTTTAAGTCCTCAATTGTTTCTGGCAACTTTTGGCTTCTGCCACAGATCACATGCACTTGCAGCAGCTCTGAATTATCTTTGATCTTGGTGGCACCAGCTATTCAATTAATGTCCTACCACAGGAACCTGTAAGACTTGTTTCCCAAGCTGCACAAATAAAAAATAAGGTAAATTCATCTAATAACGACCCATTAAAAAGTCGATTACCGACCACTTTGCCATCATCTAATTTACAACAAAATTATTTGATCAAATCAAGATCTACTTAAATTTCCTGCCTTGCTTTAGACGCCTGATACATGTAAAAGTGTTCCTGCGCAGTTACAATTACATATTCAAATCAGATCTGTCAAAAAACCATTAGTTAGTCGACGACCTTCGTTTAGTCGAGTGTTGGGTGTTGCAAAAGACTGTTATGGTAAGTATCAAAGAGTTAATTATTAAGCTTTTAAAATAAAAATATTTACATTTACGCAAGTATTCAAGTGAAATATTGTGCTCATATTCATTTTTTCTCAAAAAAATATACTACTAGTTAAAAAAATTGGACCAAATTTATGAAAACTGCTTAAAATCAATAGGGCGACCATAGGGTAACATATTTTCCTATTACCGCCTTATATATCGCTGTTACGATTATTCTTCGCATTCAATAAGGAGACATTTTTGGAATAAGTATTACTTTCTTAATCTTCAAATTAACTTGTTTTGTACTTAACATGGCGAAGTATCTTATTTTCTATTTCCGGCCTATATAATATTTCTTCTTCTTCTTAATATTTAAAGTAGAATTCAGTCTTGCTTATATCCATATTATTCTAAATTATGCTACCTGCATTTTGAATGCAAAACTGTCTTTTTGTAGAAATTAGGACAAGATTTAGTTAATTTTTACATTTGCGCAAATTGGGTAAGATGTTTACAATAAATTGTACCCTAGAAATATATCTTATAGTAGTTAATATCACGTATAATTAGAGAAAATGAAAGAAATAGCGCGGTAATAAGATAAAAATATTTTCTTTCCTCCCCATTGCCGACTTTAGATCCTTGTTAGGGATTTTTTAGAATGTCTTTTTAGGCATATTTTCAGAAACATGTATGATTTATTATCATAAAAACCAATTCTTTAGGGAGATTGCTCTTTAAAAAATCTTATTTTCTATTTCCGACCTATGAATTTATTGTTCTAGATCTTAATATTTTAATTCAGTTACTTCGCTTGCATTACTATTTTACATAAATTAGAAAAATACTTTCTGAGTAAATTAACTTTTTCAAATAAAATAGTGCTCAAGAAAGAGATTAACTTGATTCGGGCTCAACAGAAAAAGTGTGCACTTAATTTTTTTGTTTATTTCATCAGACTGGCAAAAGAAAAAGTAGTAAAGATTTATAATTTAATATCGTGCTATTGGGTCAGTAATAGGTTTATAGGTCTATACATTTTACCAATTACCGTCCTTTTTGTTTCAGAAATATGCCTGCAGAAATGCGGGTTAAATATACAAAAGTTCAGCTATCTCGAGCTCTTGAAGCTATAAATAATGGAATGTGTGTCTATAAAGCGTCCCAAACTTTTAACGTGCCGAAAACAACTCTTAGAGATAAACGTGATGGAAAGTACAAAAATGAAAAGTGTGGAGTTCAGTCGGTTCTTTCTAGAGATGAAGAAAGAACAACTGTTGAATGGATTCTCCATCTAGCAGCTCTAGGTTTTCCAGTCACGAAGTCACAGTTTCTAGAAAGTGTTTCAAACCTGGTGAAAAATTTACAACGTCCAAATCCATTTAAGGATGGTAAGCCTGGAAACCACTGGTTTCAAAAGTTTATGGACCGTCATCCTGAAATTTCCAAACGTGTATCGCAAAACCTTACTACAAGTAGAAGTGCAGTTACTGAATTGGCTATTAAAAACTGGTTCAGAAAAGTCGAAGAATATTTTAGAAGCCAAAATATTATGGATATTCTTGAGGATGGCTCCAGAGTTTTTAACTGTGATTAGTCGGCTTTCTTTTTGTGTCCAAAAGAAAAGCAAGTTCTCGTTAGAAGAGGAACCAAGCTTGTTTATAACCGGGTAGCAAACGACGTAAAAGAATGTCTAACTGTTCTTGCAAATGTGTCTGCTGATGGCTCACCAGCTCCTCCTATGGTAATATTCCCCTACAAAAGATTACCAAAATTTATACCATACACTGTTCCTAAGGGCAGGGGTTTAGGCTATACAGAGAGTGGCTGGATGAATTGAGAGGCTTTCTATTAATACGTTGCAAATGTTTTTTACCCCTGGCTGCAAAATCGTGACACTAAGTTTCCAGTGGCTTTATTTCTTGATGGTCATACCTCCCACATATCTTAAGTGAATTTTGTAAGGAGCAGGGGATAGTATTAGTCGCACTTCTGCCTAATTCTACCCACATTTTACAGCCATTAGATGTGGCCGTTTTTAGACCAGTTAAAGCCACATGGCGAAATGTGGTTCATGATTTTAGATTTAAAAATGAAGGGGCAAAAATCAGAAGAAGCGATTTTTCAAATTTGGTTAAAGCATGTTTAAAAATGTCTTAAACAAGAAACTATAAAGAAGCGATTTGAATGCTGTGGCCTTTTCCCTTTTAACCCCGAAAGTATTAATTACAGTAAGCTCATGAAAAAATATATACAAGAGCAGCAAAATCAGTTTGTAATAATACAAAGGATCAAAATGTAACAGGCCAGACAGATCATCATTTTAAAGAACAGTTGGAGGCTCGTCTACCTCTAGCAACACTAGAATTGTTCAAGTCTTCAGGCGATACATGGAATGGAGATCTCGCTTATGAAAAACTATTCGTTTTCTGGAAGTCTCTTCAGGATAAACCAAGTGCAGAAACGGATATGATTTTAGATGACACCACAATCATAAATAATATTACCGAAAATATCAACGACTTTGACGAAAATGCCTGGGATACAATCGACTTAGAAATTCAAGGAGACGGCAACCTTTCAATATGCAATATTAAATATGCTGAAAATTGCAGTTTACTAGGACTATCGGTTAACGAAGGCAGTAAAAATAGTAATGCACTTAGAACAATAGAAAAAATCTATAATACCCCGGATACATCACCTGTGAAAATCTTACCTCACGATAATATTTTAATTGAAGAACACGCTAGTGAAAACGACACAAACTTAGATGTTGTGGCCATAACCGAAACACCTAAAGAAATCCCCATGCTGCCAGTAGGTCAATCCGCAGAAGAACTTATGTCCTTTAAAGTATCAATGCCGTTTAAAAACGCTTTTTACTTCCCTAAGAAAGTTGAAGATTCGGCAAAGAAAAGAGCTACGAGAAAAATTACTCCAGTAGTAGCAATTTCAGATGAATTCATGGAGTATCAGAGAAGAATCGAGGCGGAAAAAGAAAAGAAGCAACATGAGAAAGAACAAAGAAAAAGTAAAAAAGTAACAAATCAATTGCTGAAGAAAAGAAAATTAAATCCTGAAGATAATTCTGAAAAAAACGTGGAAAAGAAAATAAGTAATTACAACATTGGAGATTATGTAATAACAATATACGAAGGAGAACTCTTTCCAGGAGTTGTTTGTGGTTATGATGAGAATGGAATAATGGCGGGAATAACTGTAAAATCAATGGAAATGAATGGACCAAACTGGAAGTGGCCGGAAAAAGATGATATATTGACCTACGATATCAAAGATATTTTATGTAAAATTGAACCGCCTTAATTAATAAACAGCAGGGGCATTTATAACATTCCAAAGATGGAAGAATTTAAAAAAGTCAACCTAGTTTTTCATAGATGTAGTCATGTTTTTGTATTCCAAGTAACTATTTTTGTGCTTATTTAGTAACTATTTATTTCACCCAGGTTAGTAAACTTAATTACCCATTTAAATACCTACTTGTTTTATTTCCATAAGCGGTAACAGGTGACAAAAGGTCGGTAATAGGAATAGAAATAGAAGTATAGGGCGCTAATGGGATATATCCACATTTTTTTATTTTTTCAAAACAAGCTTATGGTAATAAACCGCTAACTCGATTTTTTTGTTTCCAATAAAATACTATATAGCACAGAGTCTTCACAGTACCCATAAAATAAATACAACTCTAAATAATAATAATACCTAAACTTCGTTAAGTCTTAAGTAGGGCGGTAATAGGTGAATTTACCTTATATAGCTGTACTCCCAAAGGAATCTACCTTTAATAGACCTGTTTTTTACCTGACTGTTGTGGAAGGAGGGAAATGTTTTTCACATACGTGTATATATGTATCTAAAAATTTCTATTTGTTAGGCTACAGCCAAACATCTTCAGGGATTCTGACAGATGAGATGACATTTGATTCGTCTTAGCAGTGTGAGTGACACTGGCACTATTAAGATTTTTTAAAAACAAAATGGCAGATTTGGATAGAAAGTCAGCCTAAAATTCCTATTTCACAGGCATCAGCTTAAACTGCTCGATGAATTTTGACATATGAATTGTTGGATTCATCTTAACAGTACAAGTTGCATTAGATATATTGAAAAAACCAAAATTTAAGGGCTACAGTTCAACTTGCTTGATGGATTTTGATATATGAGGTGTCTCTAGATTTCTCCTGATAGCAGAATTAAATCTCCATTCTTTTCAAATAATGCACTTGGGTTGCTAGTATTTTTTAACAAATCACTTGGTTAGCTCTTTATTGAACAAAGAGGTTGTAACATATTGTCCTTAAAATTTTGTATCAGAGAAAGCATTCCTAATTTCCACTTTGATAACATCACTTACATTATTTATTTATTTCCTCTTGATAAAAAACATTGTGTAGGAATTGTCTTACATTTTCAAATCTGTTACAAAACACTGTCAAATAGTAAATAAAAAGATTTAACAGCATATATCACAATATTCTTCCACACTATAAAATTAAGAGATTCTTAAATATCTTTAGACTGTGGCAATTCTTTATTTCCAAAGGAAGTAGAATAAACATTTTTAGGGCCATTAATATTTGGGCACTTGCAGATAATTTGAGTTCTATTGGGTGGTATACCTGTATAAAAGTCTTCACTAATCGTTGTATTAATTGAATGCATTTGGCCATGTGTTGGGAATTTTTATCTATTTTTAAATATGTATAAACAAGATTCATATATATATATATAAACCAATAAGTGTTAGTACTCAGAATCTCTTAAACAGATCTCTACATGATGGTCTAGCACAAAACCTGCTATACAACTGATACTTATTTTCTGTTTCATAGTGGTAGAGTAGCCAGCTGGCTAAACTTCGCCTCGCAGTGTGGAGGGATTAATAAAGACTTTATTATTATTATATCTTTTGAATTAGTAGAGATCCCCCAAAATGATATGCCATATCTTATGACAGAGTCAAGCTGTGCATGATACAAACTAATTGATTTAATGGTAGAATATCTCTTAAATTTAATAATAGATAATATAATGAATTGAGCCTCATTATACATAGTCACAGTGCTGCTTCCACTCCATACAGGAATCCAAATACACACCAAGAAATTTTGTATATATATATATATATATATATATACAGGGTGACTTCGAAGTTGAGTCATTTATTTTAACAGTGAGTAGATCTGATCAAAAGAAATGTTTTTTTCCTTTACCATTTTTCTGGTAAAATTAAAGTAATAAAGTTATAGCCCTTTGGAAGTTTGAGTACCGCCCTGTCTCAATAATAATATTATGTGGTCGTGTTTGGCAACAACGGATATAATCCGCCTTATCGGTTCATCGCATCGGAAACAAAAAAGCGAAAGAATTTGGAAAGATCTTTTTACAATTATTTTCTTCAGTTGTATACAGTCAGTATCAGTCGGTAGTCGGTAACGCGTAAGTGAATAATCGTCAAACGAAATCAAAAATGGCACATGTTTACGAAAATGCTGAACTTGTGGACATGATTCTTATTTACGCGGCATCATGGATTTATGCGTGCAACCAACCCCTCGTGCCTTTGTTAATGTAGTATAAAGGGCTCGTGAATCAGGTGACTTAAGACCTCACAGTGGAGGGCATGCCGGTGCTCCAAGACCGCACGATCAAATACAGGTCCGCACTGAAATAAAGGGTGTTCAGATAAGGACGCTCGAAAGTTAAAATGGAAAAAAAAGGGAAAAAATTTAAGTCAGCACTAAAAGTCTATATTGATCGTAAATAGCATTCGACGACATTATGTATGGAAGATTATATCGTTTAAATGGCCACCGCGACTGCGCTGTACAGCGTGCATTCGCATGGTCCAATTTTCGAGCACTTTTCCGCACATTTCAGCGTCTACCTGTCCGAGGACGCGAATGATGTTGGCCCTTAATGCTGCAATTGTTTGTGGCTTATCCGCATACACTTGAGACTTCACGTAGCCCCACAGGAAAAAGTCTAAAGGCGTTATATCGCACGATCTTGGTGGCCAGTGCACATCGCCGCCGCGCGAAATAATGAAACCGTTAAACTTTTCATGCAGTAAATCCAGCGTTGCGCGTGCGGTGTGGCACGTAGCGCCGTCCTGCTGGAACCAGATGTCTGTTAGATCCATATCGTCCAGTTGAGGCCACAGGAAATCATTAATCATGGCGCGATACCGATCTCCATTGACCGTAAGCGCGTTGCCCATAGCGTCCTCAACAAAATATGGACCGATTACGCCGCCAGCCCAGAAACCGCACCATACAGTCACTTTAGCAGGATGCATAGCAATTGAGCAAGTCACTTCAGGATTTTGGTCAGCCCATATACGGCAATTCTGTTTATTGACATACCCATTCATCCAGAAATGCGCCTCGTCGCTGAAGATGGTTTTTCGTGCAAATGCAGGGTCGACTTGCAACTGCTCTAGAGCCCATGCGGCAAATGTACGGCGCTGTCCATGGTCTTGCGGTTTCAATTCTTGCGTCAATTAAATTTTGTACGCGTGCAATTTCAAGTCTCGACGCATAATTGTCCATGTTGAGGTCTTTGGAAGGGCAAGTTCTTGTGCACGTCGCCGCAATGACTGATTCGGGTCTTGACGCACGCTCTCTCGCACAGCAGCAATATTCTCGATTGTTCTTACTGTTCGTTGCCGTACGGGTGTTGTTTGGTCTGCCACTGAGCCAGTTCTCTCAAATTTATTGAGCAGACGTCGAATAGTGGACTCAGCAGGACGGCCATGCGCACCATAAATTGGACGCAATGCGCGGAACGTTTCACGAACCGAACATCTGTTTTGATGATAAATTTTCACAATTTCCACGCGTTGTTGAATCGTGTACTGCTCCATGATTAAATGTCAAGACTAACTTAATAACCTCACAAAATTTGACAGCTGTATCCCCACCGGTTTGGGCGCACGCGCCGTTCAAACATCGAGCGTCCCTATCTGAACACCCTTTACTTGTCGGGAGGATACTTTATAAAATAAGATAACATTTTTTTTTTAATTTTTTTTTATTTTTACACACATATTTTGGTTTATCTTCCTTCTACAATCATTATCTGAAAAATAATGACTCAACTTCAAAGTCACCCTGTATATATATATTCCACTTTATTGATATTAATATTAGATTTAAATATAAATTATTATTTGAAAACCAATTATGGAGCCTAGACAATGAAATATCTATATGATCTTGTAATTGTTCCTCTCAGAAACCAGAAGCTACAACTGAGGTATCATTTGTGAATGAAGTTATCAATGCATCAAGTACAACATTAGGTAACTTGTTTACATAAGGGAAAAATAAAATAGGGCCTAGAACAGTCCCCTGTGGGTCACCCATCAAACATTCTTCAATCCCAGAATTGAATTTAACCCTAATACCACCAGAGTTTAAATGGTGTATAGCTACATACTGCTTTCTATTTGTGAGGGAGGCCCACAACCATTCTAATGGCTGTTTTTTTATGCTACAATGTGCTGGCTTTCGTCTAGTCACAGGCAGCAGCGGTGGCCGCAGTAGTAGACTCTTCGGTCTCCTGATCAGTCGCCGTGCGCTATGCGGGTTCGAATCCCGTCCCAAGAGAAATTTTTCTCTTGGCTATGGATGTTGTGATTGTCCGTAGATGGTAGACGGTCTCTGACTGTCGAACGCAGAGGTACCATCCGGCGGATCTCGTAGGCGGGGCCAGAATGTGTGCATGTTGCATGTACACGTGTTCCCTCGCCACAGTTCCCCCTGTATCCCCCTATAGCCCCACGGTACCCCATGGGTGTTTAGGCATTAGGCCTTCGTGGTAGTCGGAAAATATAAAAAAAATAATCATTTTAGCAAATTTCCCCGAAATACATGGAAACATGGACGCATAAAATCGGTACAACAATTTTTGTGGGAAAACTGTTTATTTGATAACAAAGAATGAGAAAACGTGTTTTTTGGGTTTCAATCGAAAGTGTTGGCAGGAACCAAAAAACTCTTTGAATAAGTTTTTCAGGTATTTATGAGATCTACAGAATGAGGTGTGGTCACACGTAAAAGGATCTGACGAAGAGTAAAGAAGTTCAAAGGCATTTTATAGGAAAATACTCGAGTTTACCTTACCGACATAAATCACAAATCATGCAGGAAGATAATTTCGCCAAATCTAAAAAAAATAATATAAAAAAAGATGCTTTGCGGATCTGAGCCTCCATCCTGCGGATCAGCAATCGTGGCTCTTTCCCATTACGCAACGACGAATCTTGGTTTACTGGATCTTACCACTACACTAAACTCGTGTATTTTGCTATAAAATGCCCTTTGAACGAACCCTGTATATTGCTCAGTAAACTACGACCAATCGACTCCAATTTTGTTGTGGTTACTTAGAAGTATGAAGCCTACGGATTTGAAGAATTTAAAGTAGCTGCGTGAAATTACCGTTGCATTAGCGGCAAGTTCCAAAACCTGCATTTTGCCTCGGTTTTCAGACATAACTTTTTTACTATTAGTCGGATCTTTTTACGTGTTTTCTGCAGTTCTCATAAATACCTAAAAATCTTATTTGAAGAGTTTTTTGGTTCCTTCCAGCACTTTCGATTGAATCCCAAAAAAACGCGTTTTCTCATTCTTTGTTGTCGAATAAAAAGTTTTCCCACAAAAAATAGTGTACCCATTTTGTGTGTCCATGTTTGAAATACCCCCTTGAACAACTTGCATCAATAAAACTAGACTTAATAATAATTTCGCAAACCAGGGGTATTTTCCTTTAATATGATTAGACTACCTATTTAGAAGAGTATCTTGTTCAACACAGTTGAAAGCTCTGCTGAGGTCACAGAAGACCCCAACAGGGCCCTCCCCTACATTGACAATGTATGGATAGCAGAGTTTGTGGATTTGCTAGCCTGAAAACCATGCTGTCACTCATTGATTAACTTGTTTTCCTCAACAAGTTTCAGCAGTCGATCCATAAATCCATATTCCAGTAATTTAGAAAAAGAGGAGCACAAAGTAAGAGGTCTATAATTCTCCATTGAATGCACGTCATCTTTTTTATATAAAGGTAAAATTTTCCCAATTTTCAATTTGTCTGGAAAAAAAAAAAGATAAATTCATTAAAAATGTCATAGGGTAAGGACTTCACGTATCAAAAAGTTAGGCACCTCATCCAGGCCAGATGATTTTTTATTGTTAAGTCTTCCAACGATAAGTTTGTAAAATTCTTCTTCTAAAATAATGATATTCCAACCACATGAGACTGGATTGTTAGATTCATTTATCTTCTGTTGATAAAATTTGCTTCTTGCATCTTTTATTAACTTTTGGTGCTGTCTTTTTACATTTACATACAATTCCTTAAATTCGTCATTGATTTTTGTTATTTGGAAAATCAGTTCGAGGTGACCACTTGATTGCCTGATGGTATCATTAACCCATTCCCTGTCATAGTTTTCTTGTGTTGCTTCAAGTAATTCTCGAAATAAAAATTGAAAACACTCATGAAGTACGAAAAGACAGCTCCTATATCTCTTATACCATACACATGTGACCACTCCTCACTTCCAAAAGCTAGTTTAAAATCTCTCACCGAATCCGAATTAAAATTTGGAGAATAGAATGATGTGCATTTATCACCTACGTAAACGTTTAGATCAGCAGAAACAATCTTGTGGTCACTAATTAAATTGTCAGACACAGAAAGTTCACAAATATAAGATCTAAAGTGGAAGAACATTGTGATGTGACCCTTGTTGGGTCTGTTACAATATTAAAAAGACCGAATTCCAAATATCCATCAAATCGTTAAAGTTCTTATTTTAACTAGAACAATTACAATTAAAATCTCCACTTAGCACAATTTTTCTGTTGGGTTTAAACACATCTAATAAAGTTCCACGTAAATGAACTAAAAGACACTGCACACTAGATGAAGGCGACCTATAGCATGACAAAATTACATACATAGCACCATTCAACTTACAGGTCAGCCCTCAAACTTCAAAAATCTTATCTTCACAAAACTTGTCAAGATTTATCACATTTCCTCTTATCCATATCGCTACTTCACCATCTTTAGAAGTCTTCATACAATAATTGGTAGCCAGCACAAAGTTCTCCAAATTTAAGGCCCCAATTGATTCCGTACATGCCCAGGTTTCGGTAAGGCATAAAAAAGCAGCGTATTGTCAGAGTATAGGTCACAGTTAATTTGAGCGCATTTTGCAGTGTTCAATGCTTGACAATTCATTAATAAAAGTTTATTAGGTTGTGATTTTATCCCTGTCTCCAAAATCTCGGTTTCCTTTTGTGAAAATTTTGCTTGTTGTTTTGGATGTTATTCGGAAATGTTGAAAAAAGCTTCACTATTATATTTTCTGGCCACAGGTCTGTATCAAAAATGCTCTCTACATACAGGTTTGACAGATATTTTATAGGACAGCCCTGTTGATGTAGCTTCTTTATTTGATACTGTTTGGTCACACGCAATTACTGGTATGTTGTGCTCCATCAAAAATTGCTTTAACTTTTCTGATGATTTTGTACTTACATTGCCCACATAGTATGTTCTACAATCTTCTGCAGCAGATATAAAGGAATTATCCTTACTTGAGCCTTTTATTATGTTGCTTGATGCATGTGCTGGTTTATTTTCTTTCAACCCAGTCCCCTTATTCTTCTTAGCTCCTGCATCTGTGGTAGGTGAGTTAGCAGCTGTCAAATTTATGTATTTATTGAAGGCTCCTAGTGAAGCTGCTTCTAAGACAGCAGGCACAACTTTTTTCATTGAAAGGCCATCCGTTTCAGATGATTGGCATGACGCATTTGCAGTTAAATTTCTCAGAAACTCTGGGTTTTCCTTCCTAAAACTACTACCAAGGGATTTAGCAAGCTCATCATTCTCTTTTTTTAACCCTAGAAAGATAACCATTCGTAAATATTACGATGCGCGTATTCACTTGACCTTGAGCCTTTCGGCCGTTAGCGGTACGGTCCCCGAGTTCGCTCTAGTTTGCTCTGTTACGTCGACAAGTGCGGTGCGTAATAGTGTTATTCTGTCAAGCGACTAGTTCGTCCGTTTTAGATACCCTATTCGTAATTTTTACGACGGGTTAGTTTTAACATAATATTTTTTACAAAATTTATTATATTATGTTTGCTTTGTTTTAGATATTTATCTAAAGTTTACCGCAAATCGGACTGGAAATCAAATTACGACAGAACTAGACCTTTGTCTGATAAGGAACTTGAGCAGATCGTGCTTAAATATGACTCTGGGAGTGATTCCAGTGGATCAGAACTTGAAAATAATGAAGAATATGAACCATTTGAAGACTCAGGAAGCGAATATGAACCCTCAAGTGATGAAGATGTGTCAGATAACATGTGTCCTATTCCTTGTAAAAGGAAAAAAATACAGGAGAAGCTACAAACGGAGCCCGAAACAGTGGCAAATATCCCCCAAGAGGCGATGATAGAAGAAGATGATATTCCAGCTGATTCCTCAAGTCTTAATCCTGAGTCTGCGCAGATAAGTCTTAGAGGAAAAAATGGACATCGATGGTCAGCTGTTGCAGGGCGAACAACAAGGATACCGATGAAAAATAAAGTTCACATAATTCAAGGGCCAACAGGTTTGGCTAAAGATGTTTTAAACCCATTGGACATTTTTACATTGCTGGTATCAGACATAATAGTTGATGAAATTGTTGAATATACCAACTTTGAAATATCAGTCAGATCTGAAACGTATAAGGAGAAAAAAGCCACAACTTCCTTCACAAACCCAATGGAGGTAAAGGCCCTTCTTGGACTCCTCATTTTTTCGGCGGCCCTCAAAAATAATCATCTCAATACTCAAGACTTATTTGATGAATCTCTTTGTGGCACAACATTCAAAGCAGTAATGAGCCGCGAGAGATTCAAATTCCTCATCAATTGTCTCCGCTTTGATGACAAATCTACCCGAAAAGAAAGAAAAGAAGTAGATCCATTTACACCTGTTAGAAGAATATGGGAAGAATTAATGTCTAACTGCAGACACTCATACAAAGCAGGGTCTTACGTGACTATCGACGAGCAGCTACTAGCATTCCGTGGTCGCTGTCCTTTTAGGATGTATATACCGAATAAACCAGCAAAATACGGTATAAAGATAGTCATGATTTGCGATTCTGGTACTAAATATATGGTAGATGCTAGTCCATATATTGGTAAAAAAACTAATACAAATAATATGCCTGTGGCAGAACATTATGTAAAAACATTGACATCATCAATATCGGGCGCAAATCGTAATATCACTATGGATAACTGGTTTTCGTCCATCAAAATTGCCGATGACCTTCTAGAAGATCCATATAATTTTACCATGGTAGGAACCATCAGAAAAAATAAGCGTGAAATTCCCCCACAAATGCTTTCTACAAGAAAGCGTCGTGCTGGTGATGCCAGATATTGTTTTGACAAACAGAAAACATTGCTTTCGTTTGTTCCCAAGCGAAATAAAAATGTTCTTCTATTGAGCACTATGCATTCTGGAAGCTCCTTGATATGCGAACAAAGTGGAAAGCCAGACATGATGAGAATTTTACAACGCCACAAAAGGGGGTGTTGATACCTTTGACCAGATGTGTGGACACATGTCCACATCACGTAAAACCAAGCGTTGGCCACTCTGCATTTTTTATGGAATGATAAATATTGCATCCATAAACGCATTTGTGATTTATAATCACAATATGCATAAAGCAAGCAAAAAACCGTATAACAGAAGACAATTTATGATTGGATTGAGCCGTGAGCTGATGACGCCCTGGATGAAGCATAGACTACAAATGCCAAGTTTGCAGCGCTCAATCAGATCAACCATTGGTAGTATTCTCAAAGTGGAACCAGTACAAGAAAGAGCAACTCCGGGAGTATCGGGTAGAGCTATTTGCCAAATATGCCCATCCAAGAAAAGAAGAATGACCACTAACAAATGTGAACAATGCCAACGGGCTTTTTGTTTGGAACATCGCGCCTTACTTTGCTCGTTGTGCGGCAGTGTTAACTGAATAAATACCATTTATTGTTAAATTTTACACAAATAAAGCCATTTCATTCATATAGTGAGGTTTTTGTTTTAATGTTTTTTGCTATTTAGTTGCTACAACGTTTTGAAAATGAAATCGTAAAATTTACGAATGGTTATTCTTAAGTGAAAGTCAAAAGAGGGTTAGCTCTCTAGGGTTAATAACAACTTCCAAAGTATCAATCTGACAACCTGCTTCACTTATACATACTTTTATCATCTCCTGCAAGTTGTTCTCAATTAGATCACTATGTTTAGTTTTTCCTTTATCCTTTGTGACAATATGCAGGCGCTGTTCAACATTATCAAATTTGTTATTCAGTTCAACTATCTGACCATTTTTCTTCGTCAGCTTCATTTTCTTTACATCATCTTCCACCTTCTTCAGCATTTTTTCTACTTCTCCGATTTGAGCTTTTTTCAAGGCTTCGTCAAGATTATTATTTTTGACTTGGATGGTATATTTTCTTGAACACTTTAACAATGCAATCTGGACAGAAGAGGAATAACGACCTTGATTTCATTATCATGACACGAACTTCTGAAGGGCTAATATCAGCGCAATCGGCACAAACGACTGCTCTACAAATATCACATGGAAAACCAAATACTTCATAGTACATTGATTTTTGCATTTGTAACAATTCATAGCCATATTGACACCTAAGGATTTTCGCTGAGGAACGTCTATCCCAGAATTCCAGAATTTCAATTGTATTGCACGTTGTTATTATTGAAATTTTTAACAATAAAGCAATATTCCAAGTGATGCCTTCAATTTATATTAATTAGTGCCACTTAATTCCGATCGTATTGAAACTTTTGGCTATTTAACACTTGAAAGAACACCAAGTAACACAATTTCTTGTGTTGCCTAACTTTTTTCAACGTTGGTCTTGTTTTCCTTTATTTTATGTGTCTCACCAGGTATTTCTATTCGTAAACTTTTCTAACTTTCCGTTTTTGATTGCTGCACACTGCGCAATCCAGTCTTCAGCACAGCGGCTACTCTCTCTTAGTTTAGTTGAAGCTGGTAGCTTTGCCTATTGATCGAATGTCCGAGCATTGCTATAATTTTATATTGAAGATTGACAAAAGGAAAACTCGAATTGCACGCCAATGTCAAGTGAGATGTCCTGCGTTTGACAAGTATAGTTTAAGAGCACTCATAGGTATCACAAAAATGTTCGAGATGGAGGGACACAACTACAAAACGTTTGTTTCTGTGTCATTGCGTTCCCTAACCTCTTAGCTATTTCTAAGCTTTCATATGCGTGTGAGTTCTTAAGACTTGTAACATAATGTACTAATTTTAAATCATTTATATCTTATGGATAATGAAGACTGGCGAAGCGACAAATTATCGCTAAAAACCTTAAAACTCTCATGTTGCTTATTCCAATGACTATGAACGGCGGCGGTGATGTTAGCGGTGAACGAAGATTTTCGTAATGGTTCGTCGTTTAATAATAATAAAGCGTTTATTGCCCAACAGTACAGGTACCATTTACAGAGCAATACATAGTACAGTGGTTTGATTTACACAGACTGTGTTCCATAAAGTGAAACAAAAAAAAAAACTAAAAAGAGAATGGCGCTTCAAGTAGAGAGAATAGAAACTATGAATATGATTCAATAGATATTAGGAAACCAGAATATATATATATATATACACATATATGTAGCCCTATCATGTAATGTTCACACATAAATATTTAACAAACGAAAACGTCTAGAGAAAGGCGTAAAAAAATAATAGACAATAAGTGGGGACTGAAGTGTAATTCGCATAAGGCTGACTGTGTCCTGTTCAATTTTGCGCGGAATCATCGATTTGTAATTAAAATCGGAAACGAGACGGTGTCAATAGGTGAAGAAATAAGGTACCTAGGAGTTGAGCATAACAAGACCCTGTCAGCGAGACATCACATCAACGCTCGCCTACGTAAAGCTAAAGCAGCACCTGCGTGTTGGACCCCAGAATTGGATGGAAATCAAATGTCGAGACGCGTGCATTGTTCCCATTTTGGATTATGGAACTGTGTAACTTCTACCAAGGATAAGTCAGACTAGCTTGAATTCACTCGAAATACGCTTGAAGAAAGCCTATAAGGTTGCAGTTGTCTTCCATCGAAGCAAGTTTGCCATATCACGGCAGCAAATCTGCAACTGAAAATGCTAGTGAAGCTACAGGAACAACCAATCACAGACCTACCTGTCCACTTAGCCCTTCAGCAGCCAGGGTATCAAAGGAGAGGACAACATAATATCTCACAACCCTCCGCAAGGACTGGAGGAGGAATTTCTCTGGCCTTAGCACCCCTCCTCCACCCATACAAGGGGCTTTATAAAGCCACACGGGCAGAGCAGATTTGATGGTAGCTGCCTTACGGTCATACAATGAGATCGCTCCTGCTAGATATCTGGCACAAATCAACTAATATTACTCTCATTCGGAGAGCCTACTGAAAATCTTAAGCGAAATAGACGGGCAATATGCGGACGGTGGAGCAGTCATGTATTGTTAATTTTTTTGGAAAAATAAAATAACTATAGTGTTGAGTAAGATAAATAAATTTTGATTGATTTGTTCTCCAGACTATTCTGAACAAAAAAGGCCGATTTAATGCCTAAAAAAACCCAAAAAATATGCATTCAATATTTAAAAACTCGGTAAAAAATTATTGTTGTTGAGGTTGCCGGGGGTCTAAATTAAAGTTGAAACCTTTACCTCTTAGACACCGAAGAGGGTTTATTTTAAAACAGTTTTTAACCTTGTTTAGCAGGCTAACAAATGGAGAACTTTTGATTTTCGTAAACTTTACATTCCTTCCCTCGCCCAATATTACTAATTCCTTATCTTTGGTCACACAAAAATCCAATTTAAAGGCAAAGAGTGTTTCAATTGCAGCACCGCCAAACACAGTAAGAGGGAAATGATTTTCAATGCTAAAAGATATGCTATTCCACTTCCAATGCAACGTTGCTACTATAAAGGATTATGTTCTGTATGAGTTAGACCCTCTGAGGAAAAAGTTAGCTACAGACATGTATAACAAAAACCATTACATGGATCAAGACAGCCAAACAATCGCATACAGTTAGTCCATAGTCACCACTCATTGCTATCGCATCTACGTTGACAGCCGTTGAGCTACTCCGGTCCTCGTCCAAATTGTCAAACATGTAGGCACATGAATCTAGTATAAGCTAATTTGAGGAATGTGTGTTGATGTTCTTTAACCCATCAACCCATTATGTGAATTCTAGGCGAGGTAGCGCTCCACAGGCTAACCTGGTCACGAGCTTGGTCCTTAAGTCCCCCTAAAGATGGACTGACAGTCAACTGTATGGGTTGGAGGCCCGATGGAAAAGTTTTAGCTATAGCATATAGCTGTGGTATGTTTAAGAAAAATATTAGTGTTTGTCTGGAATCACATGGACCGTCATTTGTATCCATTTTTTGTTAATTCATATGGGCAAACCTGTCCGTTGCCAAATAAAACATTTAATTTCTGAATAGGTGCAGGCACCGCTTAAAAAGTTTGAACATTGAAGGTTTCTGATCTCTTACCCAACTATCCATTGCTAGTGATTCATAAAACCTATTAGGTTTTTATTGGCTAAAAAATATTCAGAAACCGGATGTTTGATACTGTTGAAATATTGTTTAAATGAATAATATTATTTAACCATTATTTTTAATTATCAAGTTTTTTTCTCAAAAATCTCAATATCAACAATTCATAATGATGGAAAGTTGTAATGGGGAAGAAATACCCTGAAAACACTGAGAGAATTAATACGTTTCACTATCAAAGGTTATGGAGGCAGAAATTGCATATGCATATTCATTTAAATAGTATTGAAAAAATATTTTATATCTGATAAAAATCTAAAATAATAACACACACAACTTGATTTATTCCTTTCCAACATAACAAACACTTTTTTGTACTTGTCTAAGGAGTCTCCTACAAGATCTCTGAATTGCAACATTATTTCCATATAGCGATCTTTGACTAGAACAGTTCTAGATAGACAGCTTTTAATAGTTTAAACATCAAGTTGCTTGAAGAAAATTGATATCTGTAGAATGCAGTTTTTTCAGAAGAATCTGCAATGTAAGATTGAATCAAATGATTAGGAATTTGGTTTGTTTCAGTGATAAATGTAGTTTTATTGGATATAATAATAATAAAAAAAACATCAGAAGTTCGCACTTCTGGTTTTGAATACTCAAGTGAGTTCATTTTTTTATTATTATTCTTAGATGTCACATACATAATCTTGGATTACAATAATTTAAATAGTATTAATGTTAGGGCCGTATCGTCAGTCGTTCCTACAATATTGTAGGACGCCTTTATGGCCTCCTTCATTTTCAGAGTTTTCTATTAATCCGTGTCAGCGCTCTATTTTGAGGTTATGTTACAAATACCTATTTGCATCAAATTGTTCATGATTTTGATTTATATCATCTGTTATATCAGCCTGAAATTTCCTGCAATTTAAAAAGAAAACATAGTCTCACAATAGGAGGACGCTGACATGGAACTGTAGAAATCTAGAAATGCCCCAGCCTTTCTTAAGAGGAGAAAAGACTATGATAATCAAGGCGTCCTACAATAGTAGGAACGACTGACGATACGGCCCTTAGTGTTTTTTTTAACAGCAAATAGTTACAATATGAAATTACCTCTTTTAACAAATAAATCATACAAACTGGAATATGAGATCCTGGCTATAACAGAACTACGCACTTTATGTGTTACCTGCTTTATTAAACTTTTATACAATGTATTTTTAGGAAGAATACAGTTAGTGGGCGTTGAAAATAAAAAGATTTTGAATATACAAGATATAAAAGCCAATATCACATGCCTTACTTGGGTACAAGAGAAATTAGAACCTCCCCCTAAGGACAACTTCAATTTCAAGGACGGTAAACCAAATAATTATATGAAGCACATTGTGAGTAAAAAAAAATATTTTATTTTAGTAGTACTAAAATATATAGTGTCGTGCGAAACTGTTTCCGACGATTCATTAATGCGTTTTCAAGTTGAGACTATAGCCCGGAATTCGGATGCGTTCAAAATTGCAAACGTAGCGCTTTCGACCAACGAATTCGAACTAGGTAGAAGTTGTGGTCTACTATACCCTAGTCAGTAGTCATGATGCAAGTGCATACTGCAAGTAGCCTGTCTGACTGTTGTTGATGCTTTGCATTAAATTCGTATTTTTCTGTGAAATCTTATAAGGTTTCCATATAGTTCTAGCGATTCACACAATAGGGAATATTCATGTGATTAAAATATCGGTTATTTTAATTTACAGAAAGCTACCTTGCACCTCATTTTATACCCATCCGCTATAAAATTACGAGTATTAATTAACAAAATAAATTGCGAAAAAACGCAGCCCCTTCTAACCTTCGTTGTTTCCGACTGTGAAAAACGTTGCTGGGTGCAGACACGTGTTGATACAAAGTTTCTTGAGCAAAGATAAAAAGTTTAATGCGGGTAAGAAGCTATTAGATGCTAAAGTGTCATTTCGCACAGTGATGGCGCGACTGACTCTGAGGCCGAACTGCGCGACCAGCGCCATAGTTCTCACGCAGAAAAAGTTTGATTACTGAAAATACTTGTTTCGGCATTCCATTGTCTGCATTTTAAGATTCAGGACGTTTCGCTTAATGACGTATCTTCAATCGACTTTAGAACAGGCTTGCATGTTTCTGGCTTCCTATATTTCCAGTTGGTCTATCGTCATTGGTTGTAACGCGTTTCTGCTCGAGCGATTCTGTCTCACGTTGAGCTGTCGGAAATGATTCTTCGATGGTCAAACTTGTCGAGTTCTGCAGGGGTATTTTGTAAAAAACCTAAAAAACGTCTAAAGAAACGACGAAATGCCATCTTGCAGACTAGGTTAGTGTGCAAATACATAGTTCATTCCACGTTTGCTCGCTATGATCGCTGTTCGCTGACGTTTAAGCAACACGTACAGCTACAAAACGAGTTCACAACAAGTATACTAACATCTTGTAGAAAAACCTACGTTATGTCACAAAAAACCGACGATACGTAATACCCGTGCGGATGTATTTTCGTGATTTTCTTTATTATCGGTTTTATTCCTGTATTCGGTTTGCTGCAAACTTTATCATTATTGATTATGCAGGCTGCCTCCTTGAATTTCCTGCGCTATTACTGTGAATACTTGTCAATCATGTAGTTTTCGATGTGCGTGTTTTGGATCTGTTTTGCAGTATTTTAATTAAATTAATTTTGTCTCAAGCAACCAGACTGCATATCTAAAGTCAAGTTGTTACCGATAGTGTGTTATTCATTGGTTATCGTCAGCCTTTTTGGCATCTGATACATCTTCATAACCTGTAAACGCCGGAATTCTGCACTCTGCTGGTAGTCAAATCAAATCACATAATGCCTCAAACTACGCAACTGAGCTGTACTTGCTGCAAAAAACTTGGGGATGACAACAAGTTTGTGAGCTGTTCTGTGTGCAAAAATCATTATTTTTACAGCTGCGTTGAGTTGTCCCAAAATGATGCCAAAATTTTGAAAAACAAATCAAACGTTTATTTCACCTGTAAAAGCTGTAGCATGATTTATGCTACATTATCTGATCTTCGAGCACTGGTCATTTCTTTGCAAGAGGAAATAAACGCTCTCAAGTCTACACACACTGACACAGCCCAGACGTCACCGTCTGTCGACTATGAAGATACAATTCAAGAAAGTGCAAATCAGTCCAACGCTCAATAGAGGGCTCATGTCACTGAACAAGTCAAAAAGATTATACAGGTCTTGGATCATGATGTTAATGCCGATAGTATTAAGCCAGTTAGACTAGGATCTATCAATAACGAGGCCCATGAAAATAACACTTAGGGATGAAGATGATGTTCGTGATTGTATTAAGTCAGCTAGCAACTTAAAGAGGACCAATGTTTTCTCCAGGATTAGTATCTCATTTGATCGTACACCTCGACAGATCTTGCATTATAAAAAACTGAAACAGAAGATGGAAGAACGCTGTGCAAGATGGCTTAAAGAAGTACGTTCGTGGTGTCCCTAGACTCGTTTCGGAAAACTAGGAAAGCCCAACAAAAATATCCCTATTCACGGTTATTTCCAAAATGTGCCCGGACTGAATACCAAATTCAATGAATTTTACTCCGCAATTTTGTCTTCTGATTATGATTTTGTAGGACTTGCCGAAACGTAATGTGAGAAATTCGGAATTATTTCCTCCTGAGTATTATTGTCTACCGTTGTGACCACGATTTCTTAAGAACAAACACTTCTGCGGAGGAGGAGTTTTGCTTCCATGTAAAGATATGTTTAATATTGAGTCAATTAATCTTGTGCACATTCGCAATGAAATTTGCTTAATCGATATTCTAAGAATCAAGTGTACTATAGGATTTAATTCAGTATTTATATATGTCCTGTATGAACCACCACAAGTAACATTTGTAGACCTTGAAGCATTCTTGGAATTATTTTCACAAACTACAATAAGTCAATTAAATGTCCTAATTCTATGAGATTTCAATGTAACAAATCTTGTTGATAATACAATTGTTGATAGACATTCGACTGCACTAAACAGATTTTTGGAATTTTCAGGTCTTTCTCAATTATTTTATACATTAAATATTTGTCACGCCTTTAAAGAACATTTTTAATTATTCCCTCAGTACAGCAACTTTTCTTACAAAGTGGAAACTGGCTAGAGTGTGCCCTATTTTTAAAGTTGAGGACCCTAGTAAAATCGAAAATTACCGAGCTATATCTATATTGGATAATTTTGGAAAGGCATTTGAGATATCTGTATACAACTACATCTGTCCTTTGACCTCGCATCTGATATCTGAGACGCAACATCGATTTATGCGCAATCGCTCTACTATTTCTAACTTAATTGAAATCACCCAGAAAATTGCAGAGGTCTTAGTTAATAGAGGTCAGATGGATGTGGTCTAAACGGATTTCTCAAAGGCCTTCGATAAGATTAGTCACCAAAGAATCATAGATAAACTTCAGAATTTTGGTTAACCTGTCCTTCTCTGTTTTTGCCGATGATTTAAAAGGATTAGCAGCATTGATGACTACGGTTTTTTTATAAGAAACTGTAAATCATTTGGTAGTGAGACGGCACTTAAGGCTTTATACTGCACCTTGGTGCGTTCTAAGCTGGAATATGCATCATGTGTATGGCATCCGTATTACCAAATCTATACTAATGAAATTGAAAGTGTACAGAGGAGATTTCTTAAATACTTGACTTTCAAATCAGATGGTGTTTATCCCAATCGTGGGACTGCCCAATCAGCGATGTTGCTCAGATTTGAAATACATCCTTTTCAGCAGAGAAGAATTTGTAATAGTTCTAAATTCCTTTACAAACTCGTACACAGTGATGTTGATTCTTCAGCTTTATTAGCTGAAATTGATTTTCATGTACCGTCCCTCATTTCCCGAAGATTTCTCGCTTTTTACTTAACAATACCAAATTCTAATGTTACGATTAAGTCACACCTTTGGGTCGCGTGACAATACAAAATGCCATTTTGAATCCATTATTGTGGATGCTACAAAGTGGCTATTCGTCATTTCCATGGCAACCCCTATCATATGGGTATCAAGTGGAAGGGCTTGAAGAGAGAAACACTATAAGCAAGGTGACGCCATTCTAAATCCAATATGGCCGCGGCCTCAAAATGACGATTCACATTTTTCACAGCACCTCTATGACATGGGTATCAAATGAAAGGGCTTGATAGGAGAAAAAACAATAAGCAAAGTGACGTCATGCTATCCAATCCAATATGGCAGCCTCCGCAAAAAGGCGATTTACATTTTTCATAGTTATCAAATGAAAGGCTCGATGAGAGAAACGCAATAAGCAAGGTGACGTTCTAAATCCAATGTGGTGACTGCCCCAAGATGGCGCTTATACTTAGCATAGTCACTCCCTATGATATAGATATCAAATTAAAGGGCTTTATGAAATAAACATAACAAGCAAAGTGACGTCATTCTAAATACAATATGGTGACTACCGCAGAATGGTGATTTGTTATTTCCATGGTAATCGCTATGATATGAGTATCGAATGAAAGGGCTTAATGAGAGAAACGCAATAAGCAAATTACGTCATTCTAAATTCCATATAGCGATCGTCGCAAAATATCGATTTATCGCTATATGATTTATACTTATCGAAATTTTATAGTAGAAATAAAGTAAATTACCGAATTAGTTATTTGTTATACTAAAAAGTAAAAAATAAATAAATTAAAAAAATATAATTTTAATAAAATTCCTTTTTTTAGCTTTTAATAAAGTAAACTAAAAATAAAAAAAATATTTTTTTCCGCTTTTAAACATTTAAACTGTAATGAACCTCCTCCATCTAAAGTTTTCAAATTGACAGCAGGATGGAAAAGGATGTAACACGTTTTTATTTGAAAACTTTGGATGAAGTCGCTTCATTATTGCTTAAATATTTCCAATCGAAAAAAATATTTATAAATTTTTAGTTTACCTTATCAACAGCTAAATAAAAGCGTGTTTTTAAAAATGTATTTTTTATTTTATTTATCCTGTTTCTACTCGCTGGGTATTATGCTTTGCCGTATTCGCAGCGTACTTAATATATGTTTTCTTTATTTTTTGATTTTTTTATTCCTGGCATTGGATTTTGTCAGTATGCTGGGGAGCTTGATGTAGAAAATCTCGTTTCTATCCCATATTGTCGTCCTATTCTTCTAATGGTATTTGATAGGCCTTCAGCTTATGGAAGCATAAAACTCAGCAAAAACAGGAAAATCATAAGTAGCAGACTACTCGTGGCCACAACATCACAGCATAATCTGCGAGAGTGCTAGCGAGATTGACAAGGAACCTCATTCGCACCGCAGGAAATTCAAGTAGGTATCCTCC